AGAGAGAGAGAGAGAGAGAGAGAGAGAGAGAGAGAGAGAGAGAGAAATCACTCGTTCGCTCTTCGTCATGCACAATGAGCGCGGCGCGCGCGACGCGCCATTGTGACGGGATATTCCGAGTGGCGGTGAAAGGATCGCGCGCGGTAATTTCGCCGCCGTATGCGTACATACGTACGCGTACGTGTATATAGATCGGCCCGCCGTGGCAGCCGTGACGGTGTTTGCTTTACGAGCGAGATGGAGGAACGCGCTCCGATATGACGATGATGATAAATTCGAAGCCGAGTCCGGCTAATTAACGTCTCTCCCCGGGCTTTGACTCGCCGCGTTCTTTAAATAGATTCGCGCGTGCAACGCGCATTACGATAAGTCCAATGTCCTGCGAGAACGAGAGCTCGCCCCTATCGAGTCTTATCTCGCTCGCTCCGACCTGCTCTACGGGAACCGGGAACGACGTCCCGGTGATAATTTCTTTCAGCGGGATTTTCAGCGGAGACCGCGCGACGAGAAATCGCGCGTGAGAGAATGTCAGGCTTTACGTTCTTTACGGGGATCCTTTTTTAGCTCGGGAGCAAAAGGAATCACGCGCGATGTCCGCGTGTGGGAAAGATGTTGTTTGACAAAATAGGCGATTATACACGGCGAAACGTGGACTACGCGACATGGATGGCAAGTCGCGTGGAATTGATTCGGACATTCGGAACGCGTTGATAATGACGGGCGAAGTCGCGGCGATCGATAGATCAACGTCCAAGTGCGTAGTGCTGAGGGAGAGGTAGCTTACCAGGTACACTCTGGAATAATCTGCTACAAGCCCGGCTAGCTCAGTCGGTAGAGCATGAGACTCTTAATCTCAGGGTCGTGGGTTCGAGCCCCACGTTGGGCGAGTTTTCTTTTTGTTTCAATTTTTATCGCGTTTACAGACGATAGAGAGGACAAAATTTTTGTCAAAAATACGACGCATCGCCTGCTCTATTTTTACACTTTTTTTTAACACGCACGTCTCATTTTCGCGGCACGTTAACGAAAAATTCGTTAACGATTAATTGGGCCCTTCGATGCGATGAGAGAGAGGGTATTAAACACGATATAATTTTATTATTTACCCAAATTATTTAGCCAAATCTAACACGTCGACATTCCTCCATTAATCGAAAATCAATTTTGTCTCCGAGATACGCAGAGATATTTTTCTCGACAAGCCGGGCTGTGAATTAAAATCCCTTTGAGTAAAATTCAATCGCAGAGCGTATCGATAGTAATTTGCATTTTATATGCTCGATGCAATTCGCAGGGAGATGCTGTGTGTACGCTTTAATATGCAAGAATAACAAGCGTCTCTCTCTCTCTCTCTCTCTCTCTCTCTCTCTCGTGGACTGTCCGCGCGAGTGGCAAGTTCAAAGCTAAGAAAATCGCGCGCACGACGTTCTATCGAGCGCTATCCATTTCACTTATCTATTCAGACTAACTTTCATTGGTATTTATGCAGCTGCGATCAATTACTTTCTAGTAGGCAATAGCCACCATTAATATTTATCAAGCGAGTCAGGGGCGTGAAAAATTCTGTCATCCGTTCGTCGCTACTCGTCTCAGCGCTCCGTTCTCGTCATCGATACCCTGTGAGAAACGTGTTTGATATCTGTGACTGTGCATCGCACAGCGGAAGACAGAATTACAGCCAGATGAACCGTTTTTTACAGCGAGTATCGCTTACAGTGTTGGCGATAATAATCATACAAGTGTATCGCAATTACTGCTTTTTTGTCGAAACAAGTAAATGGGGCCGAAATGACTATAATTTTGGCAACATTAACTATCTTTTCTCTCGGCGTGTAATTTGCAGTTTTCACTGATCTTGCAATTACGCCCGTCGATACTCGACGGACCGTTCGGGCTGACCCAATTGCTCTTAAATTCGGACGGCATGTTCTCGCGTTCCTTGAACTTCGCGACGTCGCGATAATCGGCAATCGATGCCTCGCCTCGAGATTACATTGCGGCGAAGCGGCCTGTTCGGATTTAATTTTGGAAAATGCCGCTTCATCATATCGGCTCGTGCTTCCGAGTCTTCTTTTATCAGAAGGATGCGTCTAATTTCGCTTGCGACGAGATACGCTTAAAACGTAAACGCGATGATAGCCGAAGAATGTTAATAGCCAGCATCATGAATGCTTCGTATGATGGAAGCCGAAGCAAAAGCTTCCCGTCGATCTCTTCTCGGGAGAATATCTGCAATCTTCCTTCGATAAAAACGATACCTTCGAGCGACAACAAATGGACAATTCTAAGTCGGTTTCCACCGCCCCGCCCGCTCAATTTCCGAACGCTCTGTATATTATCTCGCGTCATTCCTTGCGTCACAGCGCGCTCGACGCTCGACTGGAAATTCGACGCGTCTCCATAAAAGTGGAAGACGTGGGACACTGGGAATGCATCGCTCGATGAGAGGTATCTCTCCATTATCTTCGTACGAGGCGGGTAAACGCACGTAAGAAGCGGACGTTTCCACTTCTGGAGCAAGTCACCGATAGTTTTCCCCCCTAACGAGCGAGCGAGCGAGCAAGTGACGGAACAATCGATATATCGCCTCGCGGCGCGCACGTGCTCTTACGCTACGATCTGCCACGATCATTGCCTTAATCGTCGTGTTTCACCGGAGTGGGATTGCAGGGCCGCTCGTCACGAGATACTCGGCTGCGATTTAGCGAAAATTCGCGAGTCGAAAGTTGCAGAGCGCAGGAGACGAGTCGACGAGATACTTTGAGATGAAGAGCTCGGGGCTTCCCCGCTCCCTGTTGCGTCCCGCGGAAATTCGCACGTAACGTCGAGATGCGACCCCGACTGATGTTGCTCATAATTTCTTTTTCTTATTATTCTTATATCATCTATATTTTTTACATTGTATTTTATTTCATATTATATTTTTTATGTTACATTTTACATATTATATTATATATTTATTATATTATATTTTACATTATACTTTTTATATTATCTTATATTATTATTTTATATTCATTATATCATTTATTAATGTATCATTTTTATATTGTATTTTATATTACACTGTTACCGCTTTGTTTAATCTTTCCTACATAACTACATCGATACAGACGTTTCCCCTTGCGGCTATAGTGATGACGAGGAAAATGGAAATTGAATTTTCTCGGCCTAAACATGTGCGTTAACTTGAGAGAGAAAACAAAGCCCGGATATATCGAGAGTTGACTTATTCGCACCACAACTTTAGTCTCACACACGCGTTCACTTCTTCTAGCTCCTAATCGCCAGCACCCAATCCGACCGATTGAGTCGCAAATCGATGTCCTTTGTGCCCGCAGGAGCACCCGGCGTATCCTTTGACACCGGCCACTTCCGATCTCGAGCGGAGGAGGAGAGAATGAGAAGGAAAAGGCGCAGCCGAAGGAAACGAGAAATCGCAAATCGAGAGCGTGCAGCAGCAGGAGCAGCAACATCCGACAGCGTTGTCGCGCGCGTATGCCGGTCGGCGTGAAAGAAACGTCAAAAAGCATCCTGCTAAAAGGAGGTGCACGTGGACGAAGGGCGACGAGCAGGAGGAGGAGGAGGTGGTGGTGGCGGTGGTGGTGGTGGCAGAGAAGAAACGGTGGAGGAATCTTGAGGCGGGCGCGCGTGCAAGAGACGATTTCCGAGCGATTCATCTTCTCGAGTTCGCAGGTGTCCGCGCGCTCGCGTCCTTCACAGGCCTTGTCGCCGGTCGTCCTCTTCGCCCCGCCGGCGAAGTAGCCGCCGGGGCTCGCTTGCCTATTCCGCGATCGTCGTGTTCCGCGACGAGAGAAAGAGAAACGAGCGAAGAAGCGAGGCAAAGGGAGAGGAAGAGAGGAGAGAGCTCGCGTTGCACACACGCCGATGCGATCGGAATAGACCGAAGAGAGTGAGTAGCGGCGAGGTTTACGCGAGAAGAGCGGAACGAACGAGAGGAGGAGAAGGAGGGCAAACGAGAAGAAGAGACGCGACGATAGACGGAAGAGCAGAAGAAATCGGGGGGAGAGAAGAGAGCCGGGAGAAGAGAGAGGAAAAAGGCACCATGGTGTGGGACAGAGACGGGGATAAGACTTAGCGAAGAAGAAGACGAAGAGGAGGAAGAGGAAGAGGAGGAAGGAGAAGAAGAAGAAGAAGAAGAAGAAGAAGAAGGAGAAGAAGAAGAAGAAGAAGAAGAAGAAGAGATCCTACCTTGCAGCTCGTAGAGAGATAGGGAAAGAGAGATAAAAGAAAAAAGAGAGAGAGAGAGAGAGAGAGAGAGAGAGAGAGAGAGAGAGAGTGCGGAAGTGGGGGCAGAAGAAGTGAGACGCGTGGTGGTGGTGATGGTGGTGGTAGTGGTGGTGGAGGAGGTGACGCTGGTGGCGGTGATGGTGATGCTCGTGCTGGTGCTGGCGCGGTAGCGGACGAAGGGCACTCGCGAGCCAAGTTCCAGATCTGTCGCGTGCTGCTTGCGCGACTCTGGAATGGGACGGAAGCGGAACGACACGACGGCGACGACGACGACGACGACGACGTCGACGGGACAACGTGATCGAGACGGGACGGCACGATACCGGACGACGACGACAACCGGGACAACAGTGACGACCGACGACGACGGGCACGACCATTACTACCAGCCGACTCTCTCGAGAGCGGGATGGGATGGATGTTGCTGCGACAGGCCGGTGTGAGTAGAGCGAGCCGAGTCGACCTCAGCACCGTCGTGTGTCCCGTTGGTACAGTGTTGGTGGTTTCACTCTCGGCTGCTGCCACCGCCACCGCCGAGCCGCCGCTGTGGTGCGCGCTGGTGTGCCGCAGCTGCTGCTGCTGCTGCTGCCGCCGCCGCCGTCGTCGATCCGTCCGTCCACCGCCGCCGCTGCCGCCGCCGCCGCCGCCGCCGCCACCGCCACCGTCGCCGCCGCTGTTGCCGCCGCCGCCGCCGCCGCCGTCGCCGCCGCCGCCGCCGCCGCCGCCGCCGTCGCCGCCGCCGCCGCCGCCGCTGCCGCCGCCGCGCCGGTTCGGTCTCTCTACGAGAGCGAATCGAGGAGCGTGCCCGAACCCGAGCCGGGGAAGAGAACCGCGGCACTCGTTCAGTAGTTTCTCGGACGCCGCACAGGCACCATCCGACCCTGCGAGATAACCCTGACGTGTGGTCGCCGCAGGGCTTAACCCCTGTGACCCCCTCGGTGACAATTGACCGCGCATACGCCGAGCGCGCGTGGGACCCGTTCGCGCCGAGACGTGAGATCGTCACGGCGAATTGGCGCACAATCTCCCCCGGGCCCTCCCAAATTCAGGAGGGACGGACGGTCGCGAGAGACGGAGGATTTCCGCGACGAATCCTTCCTTCGGGAACTTTGCCTTCCCTCGAGGAGCACCTGTGCTCGTCGGACCATATCGGACGTACGTGCGCGCGCGCGCGCGCGCGCGCCCGCCCGCGCTCGGCCTCATAGGTCAGTTCCGATCATCCCCCGCCGATCATCGTCTGCCGATTCGTTAGCCAGCGGATTCGCAAAGACTCCTGACAGGGGTCAAGCTCTCGCTTTCGCCGAAACGCTGGGGGCGCATATCACGGACGGTGAAAGGTGGTCGACGACCGATGGAGGGAGGGGGTCCGATGTTCCTTCCGCGAGAGAGGCAAGTGGTGACAGCTGAATCAATGGTGAAGCAGTGGTAGTGTGCGTGACGGGGCAAGCCTGTCTCTGCTTGCTCATCTCTACCGATCTTTCGCGAGCGAGTACCGTGCGCGTGACACTGCGAGCCGATTGGGACGCGAAGTCCCGATCCGTAAAGAGGGAGGGATATCCAGTAAGACGACGAGTCACAGTGGACATCGGGGACCGGGGACTCGTAAAGACGACCTGAGGTAACGCGTGTCTGTTCTCTGGTCTATCAGCAGATAACGGAGGGGAGACCAAGTGGGAGGACAAGGACGAAAACAAGGACGAAACGACCGATCTTCGAAAGTGACCGATAGCGTCAACCTGCCCAACACACCGTCTCCAGCGATAACTGCCCAACGAAGATAAGTAAGATGAGATAAGGAGCGACCGCTCCGATCGCCCCGCTCGACTGATCCTCGCTGCCAGGATCATTCGCAGTGTACCGAGTATCCTCGTGGCGGCACGTCCATCGTCGGCTACCTCTACTCGCGAGATCAATCGGCTCGACTCGATGTCACCCCGTGATCCCGCGAGCCCCATCGTCTCTCGTCTGCGACTGGTCACAGCGACTGGGCCCGGCGGCGATCGGCTGCGTCGGTGCAGCTGAGGTGGGTGCGCGCAACTACAACACCGATGCAACCGGCGGCAACCGCAATAATGCGAGAGTACCGAAAGCGCGACGGTGCATGGACGGTAACAGCGGACCGGCAGCCGCATCCTCCGTTCCCGGCCGACGCCTTCTCGCGACGCCTTTTTCAGAGACGAAAGTGACGGGTGCGAGAGAGAGAGAGAGAGAGAGAGGGCTGTGTGTGTGATGCCGATTGGCGAGGCACGCGAGCTTCGATCACTGTCGTTCGCACGAGTTCTCGACGCCGTCGCTCGACGGCGTCCAAAGATCCAAGCGGAGGAGGAGGCAAGAGAGGAGCGAGGGAGAGAGACAGAGCGACACGGCTGCGGCGATCGATATTATAAATCCACGAGAGAACGGAACGCGGCAGCGGGCAGCATCGGCGACAACGAGGAGGAGGAGGAGGAGGAGGAGGAGGAGGAGGAGGAGGGCAAAGAAAGGAGCGTCGGATGAGACCGTCATGCCCGCTGAGATTGACACGGGCGGGCCTAGGGTGCTGCAGTGTGATTCCCGTGCCGACTGGCCGACGACGCCGATCAACGCGCCGACTTCCGCCGGCCGACGAGCCGAACGCGCGCATTCAAGTTGCCGGAGCGCGAACTCACTCGCCGATCTCGCTGAGGGTTCGCCCGCGAGGTTACTACCGAGGATCCACGGGGGAGGAGCCGAAGCAGTCGGCTGCTCGCCGGCCGACGAGCCGGGATCGACGAGGACCTGGCAAGATCCGCGACCGCGAAAGGTCGAAAGCCGCCGCCGCCGCCGCGGCACCGCCGCCGCCGAGGAAGCCGGGAGCCCGAGCGGAAGGGACGGAGGAGTCCTGGCAGAGAGTCGCGCGTCAACGCCGCCAACACCGACACGCGGAGCAAACGGACTCACGTGTCTGGCACCGGGGGGAGTGTCGCGCGCGCTCGAGAATGTCTCCAAGGACGAGTGTCTCTCGGTCACGCGGAACTCCCGGGAGTCGGGCGCGAGGGGCGCGCGCGGCAAGGTCGAGCGAGCGGAATCGCGGCTACGCGACGAGACGGAACGATCGCCGCTCGCGATAGCAGCGGCCGTCGCGGGGAGCGGCTGTCGCGCGATCGCGAGGCGTCGAAGTCTCCAGGATCGCTCCTGGACGCGGCCGCTGGCCCGCGGCGAGCAGCAGCGTCCCGCGGAAGCTCGCGATTCGATCGCGAGGCCGCGAGGGGAGACGCGCGCCGCGGCAGGAGGTTCTCTTCTCTCTAGTCAGCATTCGCGTTCTCGCGCGAAGGTGAGGTCCTGCGAGGGCGAGGACCGCGCGGAGGCCGACAGCAGTGAGCGAGTCGCCGGGGAGGGCGCGGGCGAGGACGCGCGGACGGACGCGAGTCCGTCGGGGTGTTCGGGGCGCGATGAACGCCTACCAGGGGAGATCCCGAGCGGAGGGCTCCATCAGCGGAGGAGACGCGGACGCGGCGCCGCCGCCGTCCGCTCGTTCCTCCGGCTGGCCTTTCTGCTCCTGCTCGTCGCGCTCGGACGGAGCGGACCGTCCGCTTGGAGTGTGCGTAGTAAGTTCAGTGCGCGACCGCTCGCGAGCTGCGTCAGTGTCTTGGCGATCGGCGCGATAATCGGTGCAGTGAGTGCAGCGCCGGTCGATCCGCTCGACGACGCGGGTATCAGGGCCGAGAGGTCGGCCAACCTCTCCCACATCACCGGCACCTCCAGGAAGATACAGATGTACGTGAAGAACCGGCATCTGCAAATCCTGCCGGACGGCACGGTCAACGGCTCCAACGACGACACCTCCGACTACAGTGAGTACTGCCGCTTTACTTACTCTTCTTCTACTACTACTACTACTACTAGTGTTACCACTACCACTACTACGCTCGCGCATGCTATCGCGCGGTAATCGATCGGATGCGATCCGGAGATCAGCACGGGAGGAGAACACGGCTCTCGGCAGTGCAAAGTCGCGTACGGCTGCGACTCGATCAAGCGGACCGATTTCTACCTTGAGGAAATCAAATTCTCCTTCAGACGGAGGTTTCCTCTGAAATTTGCTTCAACTTGAATACCGATCAGGTATTCTCGGTCTATCCGTCGTGAAAATTGAATCAAGGGTGGGGGGAGGAGCTACCAGCAATGACGACGCGATACTCGCGTATCGCGGAGCAATTGATGAAGCGCGTTCAATTTCATAATTGACTACTCCAGCTTTGCCTCGGCGAGGTCTTACGCAACAGCGAGTGGACGCCAGTGGAAATTTCGTGTTGGAACTTCATTTGGCAGCGGAATACCGGATTACGCGCCGTTACAAAGCGCCGAGCGTTTATTCTCGGCGCGAGTACGTGTCGATTGCGCGCGGCGTCGTCGTCGGGATCACGGGGGCGATTTTCCTTGAGCGAGTCGGATTTAGCGACTCCCTTCATCTTCGGCCAGCTAATAATAACCGCCGGCGTATATTTGGCCCTGGCGATTTCTTAAATTAAATCCTCGCTTCCCCTCTCCTTATCAGCCAAGCGGTGGCGAGTAAGAGGCTCGCCGCCGCCGCCGCCGCCGCCGCCGCTGTCATCGCGTCTAATTACACAGGACTAAAAATGCAATCAACCGAGCGTATCACACCCGTCCGCGGGAACGTCTGCGCGAGAGTCTCTCCCCCGAGCAAAGCCGAATTATTACCGAAAGCAAATCAGCACTTTCCAACGCGTCGCAGTGCCGTTCGCTCGAAGAACGCGAAGAGCGCTTACTCTGTAGAGAAGATACTTGGCGCGCTCGAGCTTCATGACTCATCTATTGCTACTTGCTCGTCTCGTTACACTCTCGCGGCCGATAACTTAAAAATAAACTCTCTTTCGAGAGAGACGTATTACGCCTCTTTCGTTGCTCGAGCCCGAGCTGTCGGCTCATCCGCCACGCGTTAAAGAGCGACGCACACTCGCTCGACACGAAAGCGCGCGCGCGCTCTTTGCGGCCTCTCTCCGGCCGAGCGTCTTTAATCCGGCTCGACACCTGCGATGGATTTTTCGAAAACCGCGCCGGGTCTCGGATCCATCCCGACGATCCGCGGCCGCTTCCGAGAGAGCGACTCGTGCCGCCTCTGCGTGATTAATCGACGTGTAATCGAGCGTTATCCTTGAACCGCGCGCGCCGAGTGCGACGTCGGTTTCACGGTACGCCCGTTGCGCTCTCCGTCCATTCACGATATCTATCCGGTCGATATAAGGAGAGAGAGAGAGAGAGAGAGAGAGGGAGAGAGAGGCCACTCGACATGCCGTCCGACGTCACTCGATTTCATCGACGCGTCCTAATTCGCCGGCGCGCCTTTTTATCGCGCGCGATGACCTTATCCGACGAGGAATGCCGAGGAGATCGCGCGCCCCGCATTTCGACGCTTCGTCGTTCGCGTTCCGAAAATTTCGTAAAACGAGCGCGCCGGCCGATCGATTTCGGCCGTCGCCGCCGCTGCTGCAGCCCCCCGAGCGGCTTGACTATCTGCCAATGCTCCCGCTGCATTATCGACTCGATAAGAGCTGCTCGTTCCAATCAGCGCTGCGTCCTCGGGAATGCAGCCGGAAGAACAGCTTTGTCTTGTCGCGATGTGTAAGATATTTCTCAAGACACGCTTCGTCCGCGGCGATCGAGTGTATCGTTCGCTGCCGAAAGGATCCGGAACGGGACGGAACGAGCGACTCGATCGAAGGGAACTGAAAGAGAGAGAGAGAGAGATAGATAGAGAGAGAGAGAGAGAGAGAGACGAGAGCCGGTCCAAGAATATCGTCTTCGCGCGTAACTAGACCATGCTGACCTTTGCTGAAGCCGCGGTCGTTCGGCTGGCTCGACGGCGATGGGAACTTCGTCTAGGAAGTGCCTAGTCGTATTTGCATTCCCGCTTGTTTGTCGTATACGGCGAAATTGGGTTAAGCGAGAACGACGAGCGTCGTCGAGGAGACGACGTCTGAAGAAGGAAACTTTAGTCAAAGTCCGCTGATGGCGGGCCTTTAACGAACCTGTCACGTGCGACCCATCGTGAGGGCTTGATCGTTCTCCGGCACAACGGAGACGAGAGGAAGTCCGTTACAACGATCCTGTCAGATTTACCTCGCTGGATCACACGTTCGGACAAATTCGGCGGATTCGACGGATCGATTTAATCCCGGTCGCGCGCGCGCGGACTTAACGGTACGCGGACTCTGACGGACTCGCGCGTCTCGCGGATATCGCGAGCTATCCGAGCGAACAACGCGGACGAGACATCCTCGGATTACGGTAAGAACTTCCCGGTACTCCCGCTAAACCGGTATTACAATGTCGAGGTTGGAACGCGTGATCGTTAATCGAGAACGAAATTTACGTCCGCTTCGGCCGTGATAGAGGCTTCTCCCTCTCTCGCTGGGCCGCTCGGAAAAATCGGAAGTGACAGCTCAGTTTCTCGACATCACACGCGTACGCAGAAGCTTGCGCGAAGGGTGCAATTACATTAAAGTAAACGTCCGAATGGCCGGGGACACGTCCCACAGTATCCGACCACTTTGAAAAAAACATTTACTATTTATTTTAACAATAATGAGTGAAAGTAATAATTATTGTAAAAAAAAAACTTCAATATTTGGCGATTAGCTAGTTGGAAAAAAAATATACACAATTTGATATTTTTGTGTTAAAATAAAAATTAATTACATAAGTACGCACTTATGGTTTGCCAACATGATGGTCAGTCGTTGATAAATTCATTGAGAGATAATAACACCTATATTTATATTATTTCTCGTTAGCACATGGTAATTTTCTAATTGTGCGATCAGACATTGGGATAAATTATATCCGAACGAATTGGGGCCTGTTTCAACTGTCCCATCAACTGGTACATTAATGCGCTTCATTACTTGTGTAAAAAATAATAGATATATACATTGGTTTAAATCGTTTTTCTCTACTTGAGGCGATCTTAAGTTTTCGAATAAATGCCAATATTTGTGTCAAAACTCTTCTTAGTGTTATATATTGTATTTTTTATGACGACCTATTTTTACAATTTACGACCTTGTTTTAACAATAATGAATGAAAGTAATAATTATTGTAAAAAAAAGCTCCAATATTTGGCGATTAGCTAGTTGGAAAAAAAAATATACACAATTTGATATTTTTGTGTTAAAATAAAAATTAATTACATAAGCACGCACTTATGGTTTGCCAACATGATGGTCAGTCGTTGATAAATTCATTGAGAGATAATAACACCTATATTTATATTATTTCTCGTTAGCACATGGTAATTTTCTAATTGTGCGATCAGACATTGGGATAAATTATATCCGAACAAATTGGGCCTGTTTCAACTGTCCCATCAACTGGTACATTAATGCGCTTCATTACTTGTGTAAAAAATAATAGATATGTACGTTGGTTTAAATCATTTGTCTCTACTTGAGGCAATCTTAAGTTTTCGAATAAATGCCAATATTTGTGTCAAAACTCTTCTTAGTGTTATATATTGTATTTTTTATGACGACCTATTTTTACGACAATTTACGACCTTATTTTAACAATAATGAATGAAAGTAATAATTATTGTAAAAAAAAGCTCCAATATTTGGCGATTAGCTAGTTGAAAAAAAAAATATACACAATTTGATATTTTTGTGTTAAAATAAAAATTAATTAGATAAATATGCACCTATGATTTAGCAAAATAATGGTCAGTCGTTGATAAATTCATTGAGAGATAACATCTATATTTGTATTATTTCTCGTTAGCACATGGTAATTTTCTAATTGTGCGGCCAGACATTGGGACAAATTATATCCGAACATTGGGCCATAACCTATTTCAATTGTCCGGTCACTGTGGCTAACACTAATGCGCTTCATTACTCGTGTAAATATTTCATTAATAATAGATATATACATTGATTTAAATCATTTTTCTCCACCCAAGGGAATTTTAAGTTTCCGAGTAAGTGCAAATATTTGTATCAAAACTATTCTTAACATTACATATTGTATTTTTTATAACGACTTACGTTTAAACGTCCGGTTACTGGGACATTTACCTTACAGGTGCGCACAAATCGCGCGATAAGCAGATAAGAGAACATGATCGAACGATATCGATCGGCGCGCGACATATCGCGATTGTGACGACAAAAATCCTGCGGAATAATGAAAGCACGCGGACTTGTTGATCCTTCAACGCGTCTTGTCGCGTTGTAGCAATTTATAAGTCGCTATCGCCAAGTATCGCCGCGAATTCCGCCGAACGGAATGCCGACGAGGAAGACGCCCCTACGCGGAACGGGGAACGAACACGATGTCTCTATGCCGGCGCTGCGTTTCGACTTTGGTTATAACGAAGGTGAGCCGATAATTATCAGCGCGATCGCAGTTTGCATAAATCACGCGACCAGCTGCCCTATTTTACATCGCGTTCGTGCGCGGCTCGCCGGGGATATCAATGAACCATCTATTTCCACCGCGCGTCGACCACTGTCGACGCCTAATTGCTTTCTTTTGCGTAATGCGTGCGTGCGCAAAGTGGCCGACCGGCCGCCGACAAGGAAGACGACGACGACGAAGAGGACGAGCAGAACGAATGACGTGCGCGAGTGTCCGCTGGTGCGTTTTCCCCGCACCTCGAAAGCCACCCAAACGTGATGCCGATGACGACGGACGCTCTCTCGGTAATAAGCACGAGTGCTTTAATCCCAGGCTCCCGTAATTGGAGTTAAACATCCCGTGCAATCGCGCGACGTCAGGCTACCGCGGCGGATCAATCATCGAGGAATTCAACCGGTAGAATCTCGTTTCTGGATT